ACACCCACACACCCAACCCACACCCACACCCACACACCCACAGCCACACCCTTTTTCTGATCAAAAATCACATGTTATGCAGAAATGTTTCATTGTTTCACATGAAGAAATAAGTTGCTTCTTCAAGTTAAATGAATACGTTCTACATTATGACTAATCTGTTAAAAAACGAAGTGATAATATTCAATACTGTAAATGCATTTTTAATTGAAATGAAATTTTAATACTTAGCATGCTCGGATGAGGTAATAATTGACTAACCATAATAGATGTACCAAGAGTAGCACCAGCACTTATTAATTGTTTAGCTAAATTCATAAATCCAGTGCCAGCTACGCTTTCAAATGGACGAATTTCACCTGCATCGTATTCGATACATGCGTCTGTAATACGTTTTTGAAATAATGCGCATTCTTTTGATGATGAAGGCTGTTGACAATGTGATGATATTATTTGTTGTCGTGACGGAGTCACTCAAACAATTATAATTATTCATGATACCGGTACCCTTTTCACGGATCCATTTCAATACTATTCCACATTGTAAATAGATAACGTAATCTTGTGCAATATCTTCATGATATAAATGGGAATAGTTTGTTCAACATTCGCTTCTTTTCCTTTTTGGTTTTGCGAATAAAGATAATGGATCGTTTGACGCTACTAGAACTTGAAGTTCAGCTTTGGATAATGCTGATTCGAAGAATTTGTTGAAGAGATTTCATACAATTTAACATGGAGAAGCTTTAACAAAAACGAATTTTTTCTATATTTTTAAGTAGAAAATCTCAATTGCATGGTTAGCCAAACGTGCCTTCAATCATAATTTTATTCGTAATCTAATGTCATATCACACTGCGCAAAACGCGATGTTGCGAGAAGCTGGTGTATGGTAATAATACTTTTTCTCAAATAAGAATAGGAATTTTGAAAGCTGAATGGGAACAAATTTTTTCTACGGAAACTTGAAACTGGGATCGAGAAAAGTTGTTCCCACAGGACACTACAAAATAGATCCTTTATACTTGTTTTAGCTCACATTTTTCACAGAGAAAACGAAATGACCTAGTATTTTTGATTTCAATATGATCTGGCTAGATCTTGCATTTGAGAAAACTAAATCGAAAAAAATTTTTCTCCAGCGGCTTATAGGTAGGGTAGGATGGTCTTCTGGCGGACCCTCTTTTCAAAGAAACGACCTTATTTTTTTAGCTTATAGCAATGACCTATAAAGCCACGAAACTAACCGGCTTGCACTCAAAAACTCAAACAAATGAGAAGCTAGTTGCTACTCAACAACGTACGTTTTCGTTTATAAATGATGAAAAATTTGAACTGTTCACTGTGATTTGGTTTGACGAGAAGTCTAACGACTCTTCGTTGGATTCATTAATGACAAAATCACTTCTACGTCAAATAAATACTCACTCTTGCCTATTTTACCACGATTCATCTACATTTCTCAATGATATTGAACAGATGCAATATGAAAATAGAAAAATTCTGTTAATTATATCAGGTCTTTACGCTCGCCAATATTTAGCGAACATTCATAATAAAATTTCGAGTATCATCATCTTCTGTGGACTTGCCAGTAAATACATAGATTTACTTAATCAATATTCGAGTATTTGTGATATCTGCACTGAACATCATTCTTTGAAGAATGCTATAGAACTTGAATTATCTTCGCTCAAATTCAACTTATTTGAAAATCAAACATTGAGATCCATGAGACCAGTAAAGACATTGTTAGCAGAGGATTCATGCAATCGTATGGCTTACTTTTCATATCTATCCTTTATAGAGATTCTTAAAGAAATGTCACAAACCGAAAAAGCTAAACAAATTTTAATCAACAAATGCAGAGACTATTACCGGCGGAATCAAGTTGAACTTGATAAAATTGAACTTTTCCGGAACACGTATACATCGGATATGGCAATCGATTGGTACACTCGTGACAGTTTTGTTCATCGTCTCGTTAATCATGCATTTCGAACTGACGATATCACTCTTTGGTATCTATTTCGATTTTACATTATTGACCTTTGTAATCAACTGGAGAAAGTATGTCGAGAGCAAAAGCAATTAAACTTCTTGAATGAGGAGCCTTTAACACTATACCGCGGTCAACCGCGTATGCCAACTTCAGAATTAGAGAATTTAAGAGATAACGTTAATGGTGTCTTCTCAACTAATGGATTTTTTTCTACTTCAACGAGTATGGACATTGCTAAGCAGTTTATTTGTGATGCACAAAATACAGACGAGTTCAAAGTTGTCTTCTATGAGATAACCGTCGATTGTTCAATACTAGAGAACGTTACCTTTGTTGATATTGACCGGTATAAAGGAGTGGCCAATGGAGAAAGTGAAGTACTGTTCAACATTAATTCTGTGTTCAAAGTCGATGAAGTCACATACCTTAATGAAGATGAAGTTTGGTTGGTTCGAATGAGCGCAACGGATGAATGTACAGAAGATATGAAGCGAGAGTTAGGCTTCATGAGGAAAAAGTTTCGAACATCTAGTAATATGAACTTGATATTCGGACGTCTCCTCGTTGATATGGGTCATTATTCAAAAGCAGAATCCTACTTTCGAATGATGTTACAAGTGCTCCCACATAATCACAGAGATATAGCTGCAGTCTACGATCAGATTGGAGATTTGCATCTACGTATGACTAATTGGAATGAAGCCTTCAGAAACTTCTCGTATGCTTATGAACTAAAGAAGCAGAAGAAATCTCGTTGCAAGCAGACTATGGGTGTGACATTCAATAACTTTGGAAATTATTTCAAGGCCATCGAAGACTTTGCAATGGCACGTACCTATTATGAAAAAGCATTAAAGTACCAGAATGACGACTGCAATACTTCCATAACAAAACTAAATATGAGTAGTATTTACTCAAATGAAAAACAGTTTGAAAGAGCGCTTGCTTTGTGTCTGGAAGCACGTGATCACCTTCAACAAGTTCAACCCTCTCTTTCAGCTGAAGTAATCTACTCTCAAGGTATGATAGGTGATATCTATTTTGCACAGAGAGAGTACGACCTGGCTGAATCCTTCTACATAACGGCCTTTGAACTTAGTCAAAAGTACCTACTAATCGGTGATCGGTTACGAACGAAATGTATAACAGCACTAGTTGATCTCTATAATAGGCAAGCCAAAAAACAACAGGCTCAAACATTTTGCAGAGAACAGTTTGCTTTACATGAAAAGTATTTAACAAACACTTCTACGAGCATTGCACATTTCTTATTGAAATTATCTGAGTGCGAAGAGAACGGTAGAATTCGACTTTATACACAGGCACTGACTATCTTAGAACGTAATGTTCATTTAGAATATCAGTTAATTGCAAAATGCCTCCTGCTAATTGGAAGTTATTACAAAGAACAGCAATTAAGTGATATAGCATTTGGATATTATATGAGAGCACAAGAAATTCAGAAGAAAATTTATCCATCGGAACATACAATTCATTGTCAAACGCAAAACTTAATTGATACTGTTCGATGAATAAAGCCATAAGAAAGACTAAGAAAGCATTTCATACATACACTATGTAAAAAAATTATTCGGACACTTGTAATTTTCTTTTTATGACACATTTATTTTACCCCAAAATATTTTGAGTTACATATCATTTGATAGAGAAAATATTTCTCTACACGTTGCTGTATCTTAAAATAGAAAAACATATTAACA